GCAGTTGCTCTGTGTGTTTTAGGGGAAAAGTGTGTTCTTTGAATCGTTTGGTACAAAGTCCCTTTCCCATATAGTCTGTTAACATCTATTTATCAGTTTTAGTAAATACATGTTGAACTCATCATTATAATGGTACAATTGTCAACTTTTCCTTATAATTTTTCCATGTTTATTTTAGATTTTTGAAATTGTATTGTCATATACATGTAAGCTCAAAGTAGTTGTATCTTTCTGGCAAAATGTACTAATGTTAGGCCTTTTTATCACTAAACATGTAAATAGGTATATCTGGCTTATTGGGTTCACTGGGCTAGCTACTACTTTCCAGGTACATCTTTTTGGCTCCAGTATTTCTCTAGCATCATATTTTGATTGTGTCTCATAAATATTTGCTAAATACCATCAGCAAATATGTTTTGCCTCCTTGTAGGTCACTAAAGAACTGTAAATATTTTTCTTACTTTTTATTAGCTTGACCAAATTTGTGTGTCATTTTTCCCCTGTTGATATTTTTTCTTGATTTATAGACTCTATACATTTTTTCCTATGTATTCAAAGAAAATCATTATGTCTCATTACTTAAAACATTACTCACTTAATAAATAATTCTTCTTACATCTCCTACAATGTAAAGACCATGGAATGACTCAATTTTTACCCACACTCGGTTCTTTTCACTTCTCGCCCTGTTCCTGAATCACTGGAATTACTTCTTGTAGTGTTGATGTTTTCTACAGACAAACCGAGGGGACTGGTCCATCTTCTTTTCCTCATCCACCACTTCATCCTGGCAGGTACTGCTTTTGCTGATTCTTGCCACTTGTGGAAGCATAGCCTTCATTTCTTTGCATGAGGATCAAAAGTGCTTATTGTCAATCAGAAAATATCATTATTTTACCCTTCTATAATTAAGTGGGTATGAAAGTTAGGCTCACTATTCTATGATCTATAGCCTCATTTTTGCTGAAAAATGTCTGTCTTCAGGCATGTTATCCTTTCCCAGTCAAGTGTTTTTGCTTTTGTTATGTCTTCAGGGCCTGGGTTTGAACAGCATTACCACAATCTGTGTTGAGATAGATTGTTTTTATTTATTTTGTTTAGAAGTCTACACTTCTCTTAATCTGATGTTTCTGTGCCTTTTACTAATTCTGGAAAATCTTAAATATTCTTTTCTTCCAGAATTACATCCATCCCTTTCCAATACTCCACCATTTCTCAGCTCCTCAGAGTCATCATGCCTTTGCGTATATTTGCCTTTTCTGCATCTACAGTGACTTATTGTATCAATTCTATCCACAGTTCAACATGCCCTGGTCTCCCACCTTTTCAAAACCATGCCTGTCAAGCCCACAACTGCCTTGTCCTGTTTTCTTTCCCTGAGTGGCAGCATAGTCAAGCTTCTTCCTGTAGTACTGTAGGGACCAAACCTATGGCTTCAAGCTTGCGAAGAGAACATCTGCCACTGAGCTGTATTCCGAGAGCTCTTTCCCTTTTCATATCTTCGTTCTTGCCATGCTTTTATTTTTATTATAATTTTATTTATTCTTGTAACATTTATATATGTATAAAATGAACATGATCATATAAACCCCTTAGTGAGGAGTTACTGGCAGTTGATGACTATTGGGAGTGAGAAGACCATTGTTTTTTGAGGGTGTGGCCACTGGTAGCTTTCCCATGATCCAGTGGGATGGCCCTATTCTCATGCATATATGGATAGAACTGATTGAAAGTAGTGAGTTGCTTTTTGCTGTTGGGGGCCAGTCTTGCTGTTGCTAGATAGGCCTCAAATTTTCAGTCTTCCTTCCTCAGCTTCCCTGGACCACCAAGCCTGGCTAGCCAAGCTCTTTCTGAGGGTTTTTACATTTTTCTCTAGTTCATTATTCCCCACTTATTCTTCAGTTCAGATTGAACCCTTAAATCTGGGTTCAATCTCCAAAGAGACCGTGTCTTGATAGGAGATGTCATTCTGTAAATAAGTTTCTCATACTGGTTAATGAATAAAGCACTGTTGGCCAATAGGAAAGCAAGATAGGCGGGACTAGGAGACAAGGAGGAGAGAGGGAGGAGGAAGGAGGAGTGAAGATGGAGAGACTGGAGAGAACAGAAGTCCAGGTCACTCCCCAGTAAGAAAGGCCACGTGGAGATTAATAAAAATGGGTTAATTCTTAAGACATAGCTAGCCGTTAAGAAACAAGTAACTGGCCAACAGTGTTATATCAAATACAGAGTCTCAGTGTGTTAATTGGGCTGGTGTGGCGGCAAGACAAATCCAGCAGCGGGAGGAAAAACACTACTCCTTACAGTGTCTGGCAAGGGTTCCAATGACTTCCCTGTACCCAAATCAATCAACATCTAGTACCACCCTAATAGGGTCCCTTAACATCACCCACCTTTTCCCTAAAGCAGTCTTCACCTGTGACTTCAGAAATGCTTTACTCCCTTGCTCATCTTTAGGTAGTGGAGAACGGGAGACCACACATGAGCTCTCTCTGTTTGCCTTCTCCTCCTTATCCTTAATACTTTTTAATTCATTTGCCTAATTTAAAACACCTGTTTTTTTTTTTTTTTTTTTTTTTTTTTTAGGGATGGCCACATATAACCCCCACTCCTCCTCCAAGTCACCAAATTCATGTGACTTCCTGGTCTAACTAGCACTTTGGCATGACAGCATTGTCTTCAGCCTACCCAAAGCCCAGCCCTAATTATCTCCCCACTGGAGGATCTCCCTTCCAGCCCCCACACCACAATCAAACCTCCCACCCAGTTCCTAAAGGGAAACGGGATCATCCGTGCTCTCCGCATGCTCTTCTCTTTCTCAGGGAACCATGTGCATGCTACTGTGAGGTTGTACACATTTCATCTTGAAAATATGCAGCAGCCCCCCCCCCCTTTTCCTGCCAGCATTCTGCTTTTAGCCTCCATCATTCCTCAAGGAGACTACTATATAAGCATTTTCCAGTGTTCCACTGTTGACATCCTCTCAACAACGGTTCAGGGGGAATCTTTTGAAAGATTCACTTTTCTGCTCCAAGTCCTCCAGGAATACCTTGTGAGCCTCCTCCAAATCTACATCACAAAGAGTCTGAGTAGCTTTCCTGTGTCTGCCCTCCCCTTCATCTCCCATCCCTCACCTTTCTCTCTGTTCTAGCCAGGTCAGTCTTGAGTTTCCTCTTCACACCAAGCAAGCTCTTTTGTTCCTACAAAGTCTCCAGGGTTCCTTCTGTCCAGAATGTTCCCCACCCTCCTCCAGCTATGAGTTCCCTTCCAGGACCATGCAGGAAAGTGCCCCCTCCCTCCTTATAGTTGCGACCCCACCTTTTCATATACTAGTTTTGTTTAACTTATATGTTACTTTTCCTTATGGTACAGTTTCAACAGTGTATTAATAATCAACTTTTCTGCCAAAATTAACTGGCACCTTTAGCACTTTTCTGGTAAAACATTAACAGCTGTTGAATTCAGAACACGTTAGACACTTGGCTCATTTTCCCCAAGAGTTCTTTTAGTATGGAGTTCTATTTCAGTGAGCCTAGAAATGAATCTCGGCATTTGGAAAATGCAAGTGCCCTGTGGATTCTCTGCATTCCTACAAGGAGTGCTTTGTCATGGGTTGGGATCACACCCAAATGGAACACTTCTCCATTCAAGTAAAAACAATTTTTGAGAGTGGCGTCACCATTTTTCAAAACAGAAACAATGTACTGGGTAACTTAATGAGCTAAAACACCCGGAGGGCAATTATGCAGATTTACTGCAGAGAGCCATGGTCAGAAGGTGCTCTCTTAGATTCATTGCAGTGCTTTCTTCTACTCTTGTCATTCATACTTGAGTTCCACTGGGTGACTGATGTGGCTTGCCACTCTGTAGACACAGTGCCAGCCTGTGGAGATGAGCAGAGGAGTTGGATGGGTTGCTCCTCCTTCTGCAGCGCCAGGTCAGCTACTTCTCCTTAGGGAGTGCTCACCTTCCAAACTGTGACAGAGTTTGTTGCTTTGGTTTGTTTGGTCAGAATGGTACTTTTGGTCAGAATGGTACTTTTAAAGAGGAGTAGTAGAACATTGTCCCCCTACCTTGTTAAAAATATCATTGTCTGACTTAGCTTTAATTGAGGTTTAAGGAAGTTTTGAAAGGACTCTGTAAAAACCCAGAAGCACCTTTTTTCTCATGGATTCATGATCTCAATACGCTTGCTGTGTAGTTTTCAGCTCATCTTGGCTAGGTTTGATAACAAGGGCTCCCCTGCTTTTGCTTTTTGAATGTCCTCAGTGCTAGAGACATTTTGCCTTGCATTGTTGTGCTGCGCTGAGTTATGTTGTGTTGATTCATAGATTAATACGCGGCCCTGCACCTGAGTAACCTAAGCTAAAACCATTCTTGCCCTGTAGCATTTGGTTTCTCAACTGAACAGTAAGACCAGCCTTCCAACTTACTCAGCCTTTGCACGGCTGGCTGTCCCTGGGAAAGCACTCCGTGGGCTCTGAAGCCTGCATTTTTCACCAACTCCTTTACTTTTTTAAATACCTTTTTCTGGAACTGTCTCAAGGCTTTGAAACCTTTTAATTATCCCATAACCATGGCTTATTTATATCTGGCTGGAAATTCTACACCTGGATGGAGCAACTTCAGTCAAGAGGACACAGTAATTGCGTTTTTCTGCCTAAAACAACTTGCTGAGCTAAATGCAGGATGGAGCCACCTGGCCTGGCCACCAGCTCAGGCTATTTGGGTTTGCACTCACAGAGCCTTGTTTGGGCTGTGCTAGTCTCGTTCCTTCTCTGTGTATGTTTCGCTCTTTGCTCACATTCTGCTCATTCTGAAACATGCTGGATCCACAGAGGATTTCTAAGATCAAAGCCTGTCTGTTTGTCTAGACTAGTATGCAGCTCTGCCACCCTGGCCAGAAGAGGGTGCAGAGCCTCGTTGCTGAGGATTGTCGTTGTCCATGTTGGGTGCCACTGGGTGACTGAACCTTCTGTGCTCTTCTGTCTGGCTCACAGGTGCACACATTCCGAGGCCCACACTGGTGTGAGTACTGTGCCAACTTCATGTGGGGGCTCATCGCCCAAGGAGTCCGGTGTTCAGGTAGACACAAAACTTTGCCCTCTCCTCATTACGTAAAGTGCCACCTTGTTGAGTGGGAAGCAACCTTCAGAGCTGGGACTGTGCTTAGATGAGCTCAGAAATCTGGCTTTCCTGAGGGCCCCAGAGCACCCACCGCCACCTCCTCTACTTGTTGGGGAGACTGTTACAAGAACTGAAACAGAACTCATATTCACACAAGAATGAAAAGCCACCAAACAAGTACACTTCCTTAAAATGCACTTGCCTCCCCAAATGGACAGTGGCCCTTAAGAGAAAATGGTTTAAGTAGATTCTAGTGGAACTGCATAAATTTCTGAAATGCCATTTTATTATATATCTTTCCTATATATTATGTATCTTTTCGATCCCGTTTTATTATAGCAGACGGGACATAAAACAACACTGGTGAGTGTGTGGCAGCGCATATTTGCCACAAACTCAAGGCTAAACATCATCATGCCCTGCACCCTCACCAGCAGAGCCAAAGGAAGATATGGTTATCTCCTACTAAATGAAAAGGAGGTGGAGTTGTAGAGGTGATGGCTAATTGCCAGACACTAAGTGGTGAAATATTAATTTAAAAGTAGCAGGAGTCCAGAACTCACACTGAATTCTTTGCCACCAGATGGATAGTAAAATTACATCCATTAAATAAATTTTTCACTTTAAAAATAATTTAAATAATGCTTTTATTTTTCCTTCTTCATCCTTTGAGAATTTCATACAATGTATTTTGATCAAATTTACTTGATTTCACACACTTCAAAGTAGTTTGAACCCCGGGGTGTTTTCTATCTAGAACTGCATGCATACCTCAACTGCAAGCATTGTGGAACGCATCTTCTATAGGGGACACTGAACGAAAGGCAAAGGGTTGCCAAATCATCATAGTAGCCAGGCTTCCTCACTCATCCTGCCTTGCTTTTCCTGGCACACCCTGGAACAGCTGCGTCTGGTATTGACTAGAATACCACAGATTCTGTGGCTGCTCGCCTCCTTCCTAAGACAAGAATCAGCTGATGGCTCCCACTGAGGAGTTCCTCTTGTGCCCATGGTGCCCATTTAGTCCATGGGATCACCTATCTTCCTCCTTTCTTTCTATGTGGAAGCTGCTCTCTTAGCCCCCGTTCTGTAGGCACGGCCACACCCATGGCAGTGCCTAATTGGTATGTAATTCCAGCTTCTCACCCTGGGTCCTGAGGCAAGTGGCCACCCCAGAACAGAAACAGCCTCCTCAGAGTGTTCCAATACACTGCTGCCCACAGAACACAGCCTGCCAGGCTCCACATAGCATCCCACAGCTCAAGCCCTGAGTGCTTGAATTACTCTCTGCTTGTTAGTCAGGCTGTCCAGAGTATCCTACCAAAAATATCCATTGTCACAGACATTATCCAGTTTCAGCAGGAAATTGGTCCAAAGTCAATATTATGGAAACAAGGGCTCTGGGCTCCAGTTAGCTGTAATCAGCAACTCTCTCTAGGACGGATGGGTTCTGGAATTTTTTTTTAAATTGTGTTTTCTTTTCTTTTTTTTTTTTTTTTTTTTTCTGTTTCTATTTTGTTTTAAAGGAAAGTTATTGCAAGGTTATATTGTAAGTTGTCTCCAGTGGTTACTTTCTGATCTAATATTTTCCCCTGAAGAGCAGGAAGACTAGAAACTGGACAAGGGAGTCACCACAGGCCTCAGCTCTTCATAATGTAGATATTTCTCAATGGTCCAGATTTTATTTTGGCACTTTTATATTTGCTATGAAACATTCTAGTTTTAGTAGGATCAGCGTTCCATATAAGTAAATTAAGTGTCTCCGGGTTTGTAAGAAAATTAAGCACAAAATTGCTGTGTAATCCTAAAATGTAAAGGCAGCGTCTGCACCAGACACTTGCAGGCCCATTCATCATGGTAGGAAGATTGATAGAACCCAGCCCCACTGACAGACGAACAGATAATGTGTCATAGACACACAGTGGAATGTTCATCAGTCTTATAAAAGACACGAAGCCCAAGCAAAGTGCAAAGAACGCAGCTGTTAGAATCTAGGTAGGACCCACTGAATGTTACTGCCAGGGTGTGTGTGTGTGTGAGTGTGTGTCTGCGCGTGTGCATGTGCAGTTACTATTTGGTGGGCATCAAGTTGTAGTGGTGCTGGGATGCACAGGCTTTCATAGCAAGTGTTGGCAGTAGCTATACGCAATGTTTTTAACTCTGCACTTTAAAATGCAGAAGCAACTGGATATCTGTAAGATAGAGACCAGCCTGGACTATATAGCAAGTTTTAGACCAACCAGTGATATACAGTGAAACCCTGTCTCCAATAAATAAGAAAATTAAATAATTATTAAATTATTTAAAATTAAAGTTTCATTAAAAATTAATGTAAATACATTATAATCTAATGGTTAAAATGATAAATATATCATATCTATTTTGGTACAATTCAACAAAAATTAAATTGCAAATGAACTTTGTATGATGCAGTAAAATTCACTAATGAAAGAACAGCCGGGCTGGCCTCTGTGTCTTCTTTCCATGTACCTGCTGTGTTTTAGTTAACTTAGCACTGTCCTGCCACTAGATTTATTTGACCTTCATGATCACCTGGTGCTGGTGTAATTCCTATAAACTAGGATCCCAGAAAGAAAACCAGCTCTGGTTAGCTCCGTCCAAATTTAAATTTACAGCTGCTTAGTAGCTCCATCAAAATGAAACTGAATTGTACTTGGATTTAGTTGAATTTCACATGCTGCTTAAGCTAAGATGGTTAGAACTTTTCCTTTGAAAGTAAGAGCAGAGAACTGAGCCCAGAAATATTACCCAGGAATTACCATTGGCGACTGGACAGAAGTCAACACGTGTCAGATCTTTGCTCTGGGGAACACTGTTTTTATAAGCTACTGACCACAATAGTCACTATTGTGCGGGCATCTTATATGTGTGGAAATATTATTTTTATACCTAGGAAAAACAATATTAGAAGACATTGTAAGTGCAGAGCACATTTACAATGAGCAACTTTGTCATTAAACTTTCATTTCCCAGAATGCCAACTGTGTCTTGTAATTGTGGAGAAAGTTCATTGGTGGATGCCAACTGCTAACAAGGCTTTTAATTTGTGCGTTGAACTTAAAAGCACCTTTTCAGCTTGGCTCTGGATGCAAACTTTATAAATAATTACTGTAATTATCACATTACAAGACATTGCCATCAATGTCTACTCTCTGATGCTGTACCAGAGTAGGGTTAAACATCACATCCACTAAGTCTCGGTACCGTGAGTAGAAGAGCAATGGCCTCCTCCAAGTCCCAATGAGAAGGATTAGACACTAAGTCTGGTCTCCAGGAAAGTCAGGAGCTCTGCAAATCAAAGATTCCTCAGACAGAGTTCTATATATCCCTCAAAGGAGCACGGGGGACTTGAGGGCACAGCCTAGAATGAGCCTTGATGCCCTTAATAAGCCAAGACTAACTCTGAGAATCTAAGCTCACTGTGGATCTTCCAGGAACTCCAGTCTAAAGAACTCTAAAGACTTACCAGCACCCTAACCATCTCAGCAAGGTGTTCTGTTCGGAAACAGAGACAGTCAGAAGGATAGTTTGGTCATATAAAACTTCAGGGTCAAGATGAAGCTCATGCTCATCTAGTGGGAAGGTACCATTCCAGGGGAAGTTATCAAATCCTTGGGTGCTGTAATGTGTATTTTGGCAGCATATGATGTGTCGTGGGGTTTGACAAAAGAATCCAGCAAGGCTAATGTGGCTTCTTTGTTCACAGATTGTGGGTTAAATGTGCACAAACAGTGTTCCAAGCATGTCCCCAATGACTGCCAGCCTGATCTCAAGAGGATCAAGAAAGTGTACTGTTGTGATCTCACCACGCTTGTAAAAGCTCACAATACTCAGAGACCCATGGTGGTAGACATATGTATTCGGGAAATTGAAGCAAGAGGTTTGGAAAATGCTCTCTACCGTTATATTATTACCTATATTGATTATATTATATTTACTATATTATGTTGATTTTAATTTTTATTTTCCTTCAGGAAACCGATTCACTTTACTTCCTATTACAACAATGACTTGCACACACACACAAAAGCACACACACAGCTAAACATACTATAGCCAGCCAAAAACCTCAATTTCCATTCCTATATAAGGTATGCATATCCACATTCTACAGATGTTCCCTGAGCATTTAAATACAGGCTAGATATTGATGATATGAAAATCTCTGTTCTCAACCTCAGGATGGTAGATTGAGGGACAACTAAACACATGACCACCCCCAAAGCTCTATGGGTCACAGAGAACAATGTCTTTGTCCTCTTTGAGTACTTTAAACAAGGGCTTGTTCCCTTTTTGAACGTGCATCCTCGTCTCTAAAGTGAGTGAAATCAGTTGTACCCCAGAAGGTGGTGCTGAGCACTAAAACACATGTATGAATGTGAGGGACCAGGACAGTGCCCAACATGCAGGGTGCATCTTGTGCTGGTCCCTTTTACTCCTCCTACACGGTCAGCTGTGTTACTTACTTCTCTCATTGCTGTAACAAAATACCAGACAACAGCAACTGGAGAAAGGAAGCATTTACTTTGGCTCACAGTTTGAGAGTATAGTTCATCATCATAGGAAGGCGTGACAGAAGAAATGTGGGGTGGCTGGTCACATTGCGTCTACAGTAAACACAACACAACAGAGAGGTGAATGGCCACTACAGTGCATGTTGTTCTGGAATCAAGAGTAGGAAGATAAGAAAACAAATATTGGAAGGATGGATGGCAGCCTCCACGGCTCTTTAAACTCCAGCCCATCTCTCAGGACTGCCTCCAGTGGACAGCTTCTGAGGGGCGTCTCTCTAGATGTCCTCTCCCCTCCTTAAGCAGGACTGCATGTCCTCCACTGTGTACTCCTACAAACGGCTGTGAGCTCCCTCTCTGGCAATGCTGGGGAGGGGGGGTCAGCTTGTCACCTGGGACAGGGTGGCACCCTGATTTTGGCTTGTGGGTAGAGTGTCAATTTCAACAGTGGGTGCCGAACATGAAGATGAGATTAACTGAGATCAGATGCTTGAGGTGAAGCTGGTTGAGCATACTTGCTATCTGACAGTAGAGCTAGGATTGAACATGTCTGCCATGAGAGAGGAGAGTCTCATGAGATTAAGCGTGCCTGCCATGGTCTCAGGAAAAGAGCACCCACCCCTTGTATTCAGTACAGACCCTCGTATATGGCAGATATTACATATGCCATAAAAGTAAAAATCAAAAACCAGGAATGTATGTTAGTTATCAACAATTAAATCACACAGTTTGCTATAGTTCAGTATTGACACCCGTTCAATTTTTATGTCTGGAACTTGATCCACCAATCTTTCTGCGATTTTGATCTTGTATGTCACCCACTGGATATAGGAGAGCAAGCTAGGTTTCAGCATGTGTCCAACACATCAGTATACCCAATAGGGAAGAAACATATTCTCTTTCTTGTGGTTATTAAGTTTTCAAACTATTAAGTAGAACTTAACTTTATATTATCTATTTGTATGATTAGCTATCTGAAGGCAGAATAATTAAATCAAACATAGTAAACTAGCATTCTATCTTATTTGTGATTAAACATAGAAGGCTATAACGTTTACATTTCTCCAACAAGTTCAGGATAGTATGTATTGCACACACTTAAGAATGGCTATGTACAGACCATCACATGGCTGAATGAGATACCAGGGAGAAAGCTGAGCTTTGCCTACATTGGTGAAATAGGTGTGCAGAAGTCTGATGAGCAAAGGTAGTTAGGGATAGTCTTAGATCTCAGCTCACTTTGCAGCCAGGCAGAAGGAAGACCCAGTCTCCCCTGAGAAGCCCATCTCCAACAAGCAGATGAAGACTGACTCATGAGGAGCTTGTAGAAAAAGTCCAGGTTCTTAGAAATAGAGCAGGATGCATCCATCAGATGGCTAACCAAATCCGCTTAGTTCCCGACAGCACTCCATGCAGGTAGAAAATTAGACTGGCTTTTTTAGATGCCATGGAACACCAAAATTAAAGTCCTTCCCCTTCTCCTACTCTCCCTTGCCCTGCAGGATTAAAGTCAGAAGGGATTTACAGAGTCTCTGGGTTCACAGAACACATCGAAGATGTCAAGATGGCCTTTGACAGAGGTGAGTGTGAACCGTCTCTAATGCTACCTGGCTCATCCCAGCACCCTCTACGATAGAACAAGAGCTCACTTAGAGTGGAGGTGGTGTCTTTAATTTCTTCAGAAATTAAAAGAACTGTGCTTTAAAATTCTCGGGGAGAAATGTTTCTGTAGGCAGGTAACCTCGCGAGGAAGAGGATGGGGAGGCTTTGAATGGGAGGCCTGTCCACATACCATCAGGGAATGCTGTCTACATCCTCATTTCAGGGTCTCACTGATAGCTTTTCTCTCAAGGTACCAGAGAAGAGAGCTGGGGATGAGATTATAGGTTCAGGAGATAAGTCCTTTGTTCTGTAGGGACACACACTGTCCAGGAGCCTTGTCCCTTAACATCATATTGTTCAATAGTCTGTCATATCTGCTATGCATTTGCTGTCTTGATCTGTGCTTGTAACTATTTGATAGCTTCTTTATAAACTTAGAGCCAATATGTTAAGGCATTTATGCTTTTAGTTCTCCATATAAAATATATCAATAATCCCAAAGGACTGAATAATAGTTATCAAAAAAAATCTCATGACCTGTGTTAAGTAAAGTGGGTTATATTAATAGTAAGATTTTAAATTAAAAAAAAATTACTTAAGGGCAAGCAAGATGGCTCAGAGAATGAGTACTTGCTACCAAACCTTACAACCAATGTCCAACCCCCTAAACCCACATGGTGGAGGAGATGACCAACTCATACAAGTTGTTCTCTGATGTTATTCCTGTGCCATGGCACACATACCACACACATAACACACACAGCCACAAACTTACACATGCTCACATATGGACACACACACACAAATGCCTTGAAAATGATCATAACAATTAACAAGACATATAATTCTACCTGTATTGTGAGTAGAAAGGGTCAAAGTCAAAGAAACTTCAGTGAGCCTGAAAAAAGAAATCCACAGAGTATGTATATATGTGATCTTCTAGTCCAAGGTCAAAGAACACTGGCGAAGACAACATAGAGATTTAAAAAGACTATCTGGCCTGGCGTTGATGGCGCATACCTTTAGTTCCAGCACTCAGGAGGCAGAGGCAGGTGGATCTCTGTGAGTTTGAGGCCTGACAGGACAGCTTCCAAAGCAATACAGAGAAACAACAACAACAAAAGACCATATGGCCACAAAATAATGGGTTTCATTATAACGTTTTCATATACGTGCATCATCATATGCCACTTCATATTAGATTGCCGCTCTGTCATGAAGCAGCGTCTACAGTAGGAATTACTGTGATGAATTTCTGTTGGCTGATTGGCAGGAGCTGGCACTTGGAGATGTGCTTCTGGTCCACCCTGCTGTACTCTTGTCTGTCCTCATGTTTCACAGTTTGCCCCTCTCACTGAGATCCTTTCTGTCACCCCAGGCTCCTAACATTGTTAGGAGCTGTGAGACTGGGGCTTGCCAGGAGACATTCTATGTTGGGTATCCTTTCCCTGTGCTTGCTTTGACTTGGTGAATTAAGACCTAATTGAGATTTGGGTGATTCCCTGTTTTTCAGATGGTGAAAAGGCCGATATCTCTGCCAACATCTACCCAGACATAAACATCATTACTGGAGCCCTAAAATTGTACTTCAGAGACTTACCCATCCCTGTCATCACATATGACACCTATTCCAAATTTATAGAGGCAGCGAGTAAGTACAGAGAACTACAGACCTCTTACTCTCAGGAAATTCAAGTTCAGAACTCTTCCAAGATTTTCATGTGCACTGGCCTCATCAAATGGGGGTCCAGAAGTTTAGCAAATGCAAACCCAGGTAGCACTCACCAGATGCTGACGTCCTTATCTGTCCAGCTGTAGAGACAGAAACTGAGAGCCAGGCAGCTCTGCCTCTCATCACTGTTCCCTGACTGTGTCCTGGACACAAGCACAGGGAGACCAATTCTGGCATTTTCTGAAAGTAAATTTCTGTAATTTCAAAAAAAAAGTATCAGTGTTCTCTAAAGTGTGAACTCTTTCTATCCATTAGTTAGTCACATTGTGAATCAACTGAAACCATATCCAAGCTTTGTCTGTTCATGTTGTTCAAGGTTAATAAAAGCAGCCAGGTGTAGAGCTGCATAATCCTAGTACTTGGGAGGCAGAGCCAGGAGAATCTGGAGATCAAGGCTAGCCTGGGTTATGTATACAGTTAAGACAACAACAGTTTCTCGTCCAACTGAACCCACTGCTCTTGGGAGAGGGCGAGTAAAGGGTAGGTCAAGAGAAGGGACCACACTTTGCCTAATAACGGGCACTAACAAAGCAAGAGGAATTCAGATGCTAAGATGCAAGGGTGAGAAGCTGAGCCTTCTGTAAGGAACTTCTTTTGGCTTTGTGGGATATTATTTACCTTTGAAGGTTTCAATATATAGTTAATGCATTATATGAGGAAGCAAGGGCTTGTTAAGATCTGTCTTAGTTAGGGTTTCTGTTGCTGTGAAGAGATACCATAACCATAGCAACTCTATTATAAAGGAAAACTACTTCATTGGGGTGCCTTGCTTACACTTCAGAGGTTCAGTCCATTATCATCATGGCGGGAGCATGGTAGTGTGCAGGTAGATGGTAGCTGAGGATCCTACGTCTTGCAGGCAACAGGAAGTCTACTGACAAACTGGACAGTATCCTGAGCATAGGAAACCTCAAAGCCCTCCTCCACAGTGACACACTTCCTCCAGTAAATCCATACCCATTCTAATAATGCCACTCCCTATGAGATTATAGGGGTTACCTCTATGCCTGACCACCCCTCATCTTCCCAGGTCTTTAGGGCACCCCACTGAAAGTACACAGAGAAGCTCTTGGTTTGGTATGGATTCTATAGAAGCTGTGACTGGAGATGCCCAAGCAAGGCAGCACTGTCCCTTTAAAGGTGCCTCTGTGCACTCCAGAGAATAAGGCTAACAACTTTTCCCATCACCAGGTCAGGCTGTCAGCATGAGATGCTGTCTGGGCTTCCTCTGGACCACTTCTGTGTGCTGACCACGGGGAAATACTCAGTGATTCAAACCACCAGACCCATGCACAATGTACTTTCCTGATACACTGTGGTCCTGCCCCCAAGCAGGACCTGGGTTCTGATGATCCGAGGTAGAGAAGATTCTAGCAACGGAGTATTTATATCACAGGAGGGATAGCAGGAGGCTTTTCTTGAGTGCCTGCCAATACCTATCAGTGACCCAAAGTCCACACATTCTCCCTCCCATTGATAATGCATCTAGTATCTGCTTCCTAACCTGGGTTGTACATAAGGTTAACCCTTGCAATGCCTTTGTGAGCATGCTTTTATTGGTTGGCCCATTTATCAATGCCCTAGAATTGAAAAATGTATTTTATGTAGAGGCCTGGGAAGGAAAGATCCATTAGACAACTCCAAGGGCACACTACCACACGATACAGAGGAAATTAGAACTTTGACAGATTTGACAACTTCAGGCCTGAAGGGGGGAACACAAACTGTATATATACCACCAGAGTTAATTCCATAGAACTTCTGCTCCCTGGATGGTGAGCAAGCACAAACCACCCGCTTCACAGATTTAAATATACTGGTGCTCAGTCAACCTCAGCTCTTTCTGGGTGGGAGAGGACACAAGGAGGCTGAGTGGAAGGTTGTATGAGACCGCTTGAATTTGTTAGATGCCCCATTTGTAACGAAGACAAACAGGCCTCTTATCACCCATCTGGACTGTTTGTGTCTAATGTTGTTGATTGTGTGTTCTTCACAGAAATCTCCAATGCAGATGAGAGGCTGGAAGCTGTCCATGAGGTCCTGATGTTGCTGCCTCCTGCCCACTATGAGACCCTGCGATACCTGATGATCCACCTCAAAAAGTAAGCCAACACCTCTATGCCTGACCACCACACAGAGCAGCTCTTGATTTGGTATGCATGCTAGAGGACATGACTAGAGATGCCCAAGGAAGGCAGCACTGTCCCTTTAAAGGCGCCTCCAAGTTTGGCTGTCAGCATGAGATGCTTCCTGGGCTTCCTCTGGACCACCGCTGCTGTGAGCTGACCGTGAGGAAATCCTCCAAGGAGACTATGCCTCAATGGTGCTAGTTTCTTAGCCACAGCTAATTTTTCAGCTCCAACTGGTCCGTATCAACTGTCGCCCAAAAGCAAAGGTTTTGCTTTGTAGTGAAAGTCTTCCCTGTGTTGTGCTGGTGTCTTCCTACTCATGCTGGTTCTTCAGCTATAGAGGACCAGAACTGCTGTCCAAACTACTACAGGAACAGCCCTGGTGCAGTCTTGCTTCCTTCTGAAACATCACAAGCCAGGCCTCCATCACTTGCATTGACTCAGCACTAATGGCTTTTCCAGCCCAAAGTTCCGAACACTCCGAAATCCTCAGAGAAACAATATGGCCAGGTCCATTATGACAACCATCCTGTCTCTGGTACACATTTTTGTCCTAGTTAGGGTTCTATTGCTGTGATAAAGGTCATGACGAAAAGCAACTAGGGGAAAAAAGAATTTATGTGGCTTACATTTCCATGTCATAGTCCACCATTAAGGGTGGTCAGGGCGGCAACCTAGAAGCAGGAACGGAAGCAGAGGCCATAGAGAAATTCTGCTTACTTGTTTGTTCTATATGGTGTCCTCATGCTATTTGCCTGCCCAGGGATGGTACCATTCACAGTGGATTGGCCCTCCCATGTCAATCTGATCAATCAAGAAAATGCCTCTTAGGCAAAACTGATAGAGACCTTTTATCAGCTGAGGTCCCTCTTCCCAAGAGAAAGAATGACCTCTCTCCTGCTTGTTTTTGTTTGGTTGGTTGGTTGATTGGTTTTCTTAGTTCTGCAACATGCAAATAATTCAAACTGAGGTGACAAAAAAAAAAATAACATTAAATGGCTAATTTGAATCTGCTCCACGGGAACAGAGAACAAGGGATTGTTTCTCTGCAAAACCTAAACACATTTTTAACCCAGTATATTCTGTTTTGTAGAACTTTCTCCTTTTTATCTATGCTGAACACTTAAATTCCTGAAGGCAAGAATCTGGAAAATCACCATTCATTCCACAAAGAAACCAGGAAAGCAACTTTAGGACTTTAAGGATTTCCTCCTTAAAGCCTCTTTGGTTCTTCTCTGGATGCTGGTCCAACAATAATGACTGCTCTGTGCCTCCTCCCTTGGGAACTGGACATAATAAACAATTGCCCTGCAGTCTGGCCACATTCCAGCCATTCTCCTGCCCTGTGACAATAGCCAGGGTCTTCCTAAACACTTAGCAGCCTGTTCTACAAACAGTCTTTCTCCTGTGGTTCCAATCCACACCCAGCCCCCTCTCCAGCATCCAGACCAGCAGGAAGCAGTGACAAAATCCAGACTTCCATATGAGACCCATGAAAGTACCATGGGCCGTCAAACTGGTATCACCTAAATAACAGTTGCACAATTCTTCAAGAAGGGCAGATTCCCAATCCTCAAAGTGTGTCCAGAGCAGACTCTAGTAAGGCAGTTAGTTATCAATAACTTAAAAAAGGAAAACAAATCGGGAAGCCGCGTGTAAAAAATGTCTTCCTGCCGTTCTTAGTCTCCGTTTGCTTTCGCGGGCTCCTGAACCCAGAGATGGTCTCAGACCCAAGGTGCATGGACAGTATGTTAATCCTTCTGCAAATCTGCCCAAGGTTTCTGTGCTTGCCTTGCAGGGTTACCATGAATGAAAAGGACAATTTAATGAACGCAGAAAACCTGGGGATTGTGTTCGGGCCTACCCTGATGAGACCCCCTGAGGACAGCACTCTCACGACCCTTCATGACATGCGGTACCAAAAGCTGATTGTGCAGATTTTAATAGAAAACGAAGACGTTCTGTTCTAATCCATCAGGGAAATGAGCCGGTAACGCTAACGGAATAAAAACGTTTCTTACACTTGATTTGTTTTTTCAAACAAGTGGCAGAATTTGGTGGACCACAGTGGACTGCAGAGTTGGGGACTGTGTCTCCCTCCTCCACGTGAGAGCAAGGGTGAGGGTAGGAAACCCCTTACCTTGGGTCTTTTGCCATGCCTCATATGTATGTCCGTTTTGCTGAAAGAGTGATTAATAAATCTTTCTTTAACTTATTAAAAAAAATGTAGACCTTTAAGCTTCAGTCTTACCAATAATAAAAGGGAACTTAATTCAAAAGGGTACTTGGTACAGTATACATTTTCCACCTTCAAAAAAAAGAAGACAATTCTATATGTTAAATGTTAAATGAAACCTATATTGTCAAATGTACTTTATTTTAGCTGCAAGAATGTTATTTTATTTTAGCAAATAGAACTCAATGCAGTGCATTGGTTATTGCCCTGTACTTTGTCCCCTCCCTCCCTCCCTCGCTGTGATGCCTGGTGAACGTTGACCGTGAATGCAGTATCACCTTGACATACCTCTGTCCTGATTAGTGCTTCAATGACAGTTCAGCCCGCCTCCTCCACCCCCACCACCCCCACCCCCCACGTCCCTGCTTTTCACAGTTCATGCCCCTCAGCACTGGCTTTCCGCTGTGAGATAGTGTCTGATCATAGTGATCCTAGGATGGTCTGAAGCATCCACATTTCCTTTCTAGAAGCATTTTTGTGACTCCCCGAAGGGTGTTATGGAATCGGGTGTGGCCTTTGCACGCCTCCACTGTGTGTGTCCTAGAACATGCAGAGTGTGTCTTGTTACGCAAACTGACTTGAGGACATTGGATGCACCTGGGCCACATCGCAAGCTAGCACTTTCCCCTTCCTCAGCTGGGCCCTTCAAGTTTATGTCAATGGAAAACTGAAATTCTTTGCCACGTTTCCATATCGATGAATCATGAACCTACAGAGTCATTGTTGGGTCTTGTTCCTTACTTTTTGTCTTGTAAACCTGTTACTAAGTTATGAATAAATAAGGCTTGTTTGTTTGTTTTTTTTTAACCAAATGTTTTCCCTTCATAAAAGTTGTTCGGTGTGGAAGATAATTTAACATGATTTTATTACTAGAGACCCATCCTATTGGTTGGTTATATTTATCTTAGCATGAGTTTTTCACACCAAGATCTCTATATTTGTAACATAAGTAAAATATTTAAAACAGCAAAAACTGTAAGTCTAGATTTTTAAAAGCCAGTTGCAGTGTCTTTCCCTTGATTGTCTGAGATGACCCATGTACTATCCAGTCTTTCGTGGAGCGCCCAGAAGAGAATTGTTAGGTGACGGAGGCTGCAGGGGGTATTGTCCAGCAGCTTCCTCAGCCCCTGTAGGCAGAATCTTGGCACCCGAGGCTTAGTTTGGCCTGCTCCCTGCTGTCAATATTCCTCACAGCTGTACAGATGTGTTTATTGTGGCATCTATACTTCTTGATACTGTCAAGATAATCTGGAAATGGTTTTATTTTGTGAAGTGAGCAATACTTTGTAATTTAAGACAGTGTAAATGGAAGAAAAAACATTCTGTGTATTAAATGTTCTCTCTGGCCATCATTTTGGAGTGTGTTACGGGTGTGATATCGGGGGGCTGAAGATGAGACGCTTCAAACCCTTCTTTACAGATACATTTGACAGTAGATTCTGTCTTATCAAACTGCAACATGAAGGAGGACCTCAGAGTCCCCATCTCACCTGAACTCACCAAAGAGTTCACAGCTCACCTGGGTGACCCCAGAGCATCCCCATATCACCTAGGCAACCTGTTCCTCTCAGTACTTTCTCCTGGGCAGGACAGCCACTGGGAGGTAAAGACTCTTCACTTCTGAAGAGCACATTGCACCTACTCCCTCCCCGCTAAGTAGCCATAAAGAGTTTTCAGGAAATGACGCTGGGAGCTGAACAAAGGAAAAGGATTTTGGAGTTAGAAAAGCCCAAGTTGATTCTAGACTGACTAGACCGATACGAGATGGGACTGGGACGCAGAGGAGGGAGGCTGGGCACGAGTGTGTGCCTCTAGAAACGTGGCGATAACATTCAGACTGCAGCATTGTAATAACGTTCAGACGAGTGCAGCATTGTAAAGGTCAGTGTGGCCTGAAGCTATGGATTTTTCTTATTATCACTTTTAAGAGTGGCTTGGGGGTAGTATCGTCACATGGGAGTATGGAAGAAAGAAACAAGAGAAGAATGTGTCCTGGGTTAAGGTGAAGTCCCAGCAATATTCAGGGGCGTTGGGACACGGCTCAGTAATGTGCTGTGAAACTCACTAGACTCTGTGTCGAAGGTGATCCTAGCACTTGGTCCCCTCAACCTTGCTTTAGTCTGTAGCCTGCTCACCACCCCTGTCACCCAGACCATCTGGCAGCCTGACATACATAACTCCTCTTCCAGTGGGATAATATCAGCTGTAAAGAAGATTTCCACAAGTGACTCCCGGGAGGTGGGATGGAGCAGGATGGGTGAGAGAAGACAGGAGTAAGGTGGGGGGGGCACTGTCTCCTCCCAGCACTGTGAATGGATTTCAGAAGCTCTGGTCCTGGCTGGGGCTTCGGTCTGGTGCATAGGTTAAGGAAGGCAGCGGAGGAAGGGGGAAATGATGCTGCATCCGGGATGGAGGGAGCATCAGGAAGAAACAGCATCAGCCAGACAAAGGCTATCTGGGCTGTCCTCACTCCACTGAGCACCGATGTAGATGCCATGTAAGATCCCAACCTCTATTAGAATCTAATTTATAGATGTTCTTTAGTTTTTAAACATATAACACTTATTAGCTTCCAGCAAATTTGTGTCAAGCTTCCCATACTCTGAAAACCTAGAGGCAAGGGAAAGGCTTATCTCAGGAAAGGATTAAATAATAAGTTTAGTCTAACTGGGAGGGAAGCCTGGCCATGCTGAGGGTTTCAGCCTCTAATGTGAGGTGTGTGGGAGCCATTGTTGTTTCCAAAGAAACTTTAGGTTGTCTTTTGTCTTATATTTACAGAAAAGTGGCCAAGAAGCTAGAGAATTTTTACATAGCTGTGAGCCAGTTTCCCACAATGCTACTGGCCTATGAAAGCAGAACATGCCCGGCCGAACCACGAAATCCACACTAGCATACCTCTGTTCACTGAACTGCAGACTATCAGCTTCCATGGGTGTGTCCACTAACTTCTCTTCTGTCACTGTATCCCAGGATACAGGCTATTCATACAGCACTGGTACGTGTCCTTGGGGATCTATGAGATACCTCCACATATAAAGAGTCCTGCTACACATGTCTGGCAAGTTGAGTTTGAACCCTGGGATGAATCAATGTCAGCCAGTTCAGAAAAGTTGTACTTCCCTATACACACACATGCTATGGCACACTTATATCACACTCATACATCACAACACACTCCTCACACACACACACACACACACACACATAATGAACAAAATAAGTAAATAAAAATAAAGGAGGACATGAGACTGCTGAGGTGGGTAAATGGGTTAAAGTGCTAGCTACACACGCTTGATAATCTGTGTTTGGTCTCCATGCTGGAAAGAGAGAAGCAATTTCTGAAAGTTGACCTCTGACCTACACACACATGCTGTGACATGTGCATGCCCATACTCATATACACATAGTACACACTAATGGGAAGTCAGAAAGGAAATGTGCAATACTTGACTGAGAATGTGGGAGCATGCAGGGAACAACACCAAGCATCCGTAGTTGCTCATGGCAACAAGACTGAGATGCTGGTAACCTGGACCAGGTAGAGATAAGCACAACTGGGTTGCAGTTAGGACACGAAGTTGAGAAGTTTTAGCTCTAGGAGGGATTTAAGAATCTGATCTAATGCCCAGTTGCATACTTCGGCAATTGTGCAGAATTTACTGGAACAAAAGGCACACACAAGAACTAGGTATCACTGGGAGGAGGAGACATAGGAAAGGGTGGAACTGGTGACAGGGAAACCAATAGGGTCATTTCAGTGTCATTCCTGGCCTGCAGATACTGGTTTTGGAAGGATTCAGTGGACATAATGGCTGAGAGCTCAGAGCGGGCACCTAGGGAAACCAGGCAGACATCTCCAAAGTACTAACATGCAGGTGAGGAGAGGCCAGGAGAGGGGGAGATAAGACCCATTGCAATGTAATAAAATACTGAGGATTTCCATGAGCACTTCAGAAAGTATCCCATCCTGGGGGCTGGAGAGATGGTTAAGAGTGCTGGCTGCTCTTGCAAAGGACCAGAGTTCAGTTTCCAGCACTCATGTTGGGTGGCTCACAACTGCCTGTCCATCCAGCTGCCAGAGATCCAGTGCCCTCTCCGGGTCTCCGTGGGACCCATGCACACATGCTTGCATGCACTCAGACACGTGAAACAAATCTTTTGTACATACCATATATTCTGCTTAGCATCACAATGTCCTTGTACTTTTCATTGTTCTGTTGTGTTTGCTAGGCTTAAGGCCTAGCTAACATAGTTAGCCCTTGTGTTCTGGAGAGGTTTGCTTAGTTAGGTACTTGTAAATGCAAACAAGCCATGCTGTGGTCTTATTGTTTGTGTTTCTCGATCCCAAGTTCATATGCTGAAGCCTTATTCCAAGTACCATGGTACCTGAGAGACAGAGCTTTCCAGAAGTGATTAGGTAATGCTGGTGGGGCCCCACTACTGGAATTAGTGCTTTCATAAAAGAGAACCCAAAGAGCTCTCTTGTCTTCTCCACCCTGTGAAAATAACTGCTTATGAGCCAGACAACAAACCTCCCAGCATTTTGCTCTTGACTTCTCAGCCTCCAGAAATGTAAGTAATAAGTGTATGTTGTTTGCAAACCACCCAGCCTATGGGATTTTGTTATAGCAAACTGACTGTTAAGGTTACTGTTGATGTAATGAAACACTCTGATGAAGCTTCTTCAAGGGGTGGGTTGCACTTGGCTTACACTTCCACATCTCTGTTCATCACCAAAGGAAGTTAGGACAGGAATTCAAACAAGGCAGGAACCTGGAGGCAGGGGCTGAT